GCGGGGACCTGCGCGCTTTGTACTCGGCTGCTGCCTTCTAAGCAAATGAGGAGCGGAGTACGTGTACTTTCACTCTCAGCAAAGCAGGAAATAAGCCCTCAAAGTAAGCCCAAGACCCATCGCAAAGCGTGCCGCCGGTGAGCGGTTTTAGGTGTTCCCGAAGAACCCGTTTTCTGTACCCGTGTGTGTTTACGACGGCGCTGCAGTTAACAGGCACGACGTGCGGCGGCAGGGATGGATAAAGAAATCCGAACGGCAGTAAATAGTAACGTTTAAGTCATTTCACGAGGAGCGGTTACAGGAGCGTGGCGAGTTCTGTGATTAAGCAGATTTCTAGGCGCTTAAATTGCAAAGTGAGTATTAGCCTGAGTCTGCTTCTCTAGGCCATAGCAGAAAGACGTATGGATGTATGACAAGAAGATGGAACGCTCTCCATTATCACTTTCTCTCACAGGTACATGGACAAAGTTATTCGGAGTTAATGTGTTATGGGTATGTGATTGTTTTTTTCCCGCCGCCATTTAATGCGTGTCAGTTGAATGGGAGTTAGGACTAAGTATAATGAAGAAGATAAATGTTTGTTCAAGGCATTTGATCTCTTCTGATGTCAAAAAGTCACCGCTGTAGAGACCCTGTCCCTGCAAAAGGAGAAATTTAAGAAAATTGCCTGCTTCACCTGGTCAGTAGGTGTCTGTGGTAGCTCTTTTTAAGGATTTTTCTATCAACAGGCCATTGACCGTAAGACCATTTAGAGAGGACTGAGAAAAACTGAATTCACTCAGCTTCTGCAGGTTGACAGCCTGCTAGCCAAAGCAAGAGCTGGTGGGAGTAGGATACTAACTGTGAGCTTGATCTTACAGTTACTAAAGGGAGTAGTAAAACCCCTCCTAATGCAGTATGGATCTGAAATGAAACTAGGAAGCCAAATACTGAAATCTAAATTTATGAGAGTAAGGGCTACAAATCTACAAAAAGAAAATGAGTGAAGAACACATTGCGCTTGAAAAAATACAGTGCCAGGGCAGGATGACTCCTGTGCATAAAACCTTCTTCATTTGCTCCTCACAGTCAGTTTTATACATTTGATCTATTTAATAAGATGCCCTATTTTTATTGTCAGTTACACTGTCTGCAAGATGTGTGAAACATACCTTACCAATGGTAACTTGGTAGTTTTATTATGTAAAAATGCCACTAAAATATTGTAGTTGAACTAGATTTTAAGTCCTAAGTCATTTTATTGCAGTGTTTGTAACACTGTTACTATCAGCATTTTACCAATACAGGAAGCCTAAGTAAAACTGAGAACAGCGTGGCACTTTAATTCTCTATTCTGACATGCAGAACAAGAAAGGCAGCATCAATAGTGAGTTAAATTTGAGTTCTTAGACTTAGTTTCGCTGTACCTACAAGTCAACAGTTTCTCTCATCTTCCCAACCTGGTAGCAGTATGTGGGATCTCAGAGGCACCTGTAGGAGAAGACCACCAAAGGCCATAGGAGATGCTGAGTTTTCTGCCCACAAGTCCAATAAAGTCCCCTTGTTAAACGGGACAGGGTGCAGGTGCGAGGTGACAATACGTGACAGCATGTGTGCCGTGCTGCGCAGTGCTAAGGGGGACCAGGTGAGGGAAAACGGCAGCTCATAGCTAGCCCAAATGTACCAGCTTTTTAAGAATATGAATGACCGTGTTTAAATTAACAATGTTATTTGGTCTGCTGAAGCTAAGCATCTGCCTATGTATTTTTCTAAATTATGACCTTGGTGATCAGGATATTTAATCCTGAATTTAATATCAAGGCATGAATTCTGTAATCTGCTTGCTGAGGATGCCAGCAGGCTCGTTGCAGGTACTTCACCCTTCAAGTGGATGGGATGGTAGAACAAGGTCTCCTAAGTATATCAGATTTTTTTATATTTTTTTTAGTTCGATTGAACATATGTTAATGTTAGATTAAAGTATTCCAATTTTATTATATAACTGTATTAATAATTATGAGCATTGCATGAACTTTTCTGACTACCAATAACAACTTTTCTATCTACATCACTTATTTCAGGAGCTTTCAAAAATAAAAAAACCAAAGATAAAAAATTTTAGAATAAATGTGAACAAAGAAACATTTTCCATGGCTTTATGGTTCACTCATGGATTATTGAACTATATACATTGTCGTACTTGCCTCCTACAATTTGGCCATGCAATTCAAGTAACAATTTTAAACAAATTCTTGTTTATTATAAAAGAATCTTGACCTTTTGGTGAGACTGAGAAGTGCAAAGGGCAGAAGATGTTTTGAAAAGGAAATGTAAATGTTAGGGCAGAAGCTTTCTGACTTAATCTAAACCTTAACTCTTTGTGAACAAGTAGAACAAAGGTGACATCCCTGAGATACATGGTGCTGTCACAAAACAAAAACCTGAGTGTGGCAGAAAAACATTTGTTTTTTTAAATAGAAATGGTTAGTTTCAGTTTGGTATCAATATATTTTTCTCTTCAATGTTCTTAGTTCTTCCCATAAAACTTCTTGGGAATTTCATGTTTTCCTTTTAATAAAAGCAGACCCCCCCTCATTTCTCTTGAGTGTTTAGAAGCCGTTGAAACAGGTTTGTGAGCACTGCAGGAACCGGTAGACTCCTCAAGGAAAATGGCACTTTGTAGGCTTATCAAATCATGGCTTTTTAATGCAGACATAACTGTGCTATCTACTTTTTAACGCCGAAACCTCTTGTTCTCTACAGTCACATATTAAATGTCACAGTAAGGACTGGTGCTCTTTGAGTGCTCTAACAGACAACATGCAAATGTTGATGCAGCATAAAAATCTTGAGAAATTCTTGAAGTCTTGACTCAGAATTTCAGTCAGGGCCCCTTAAACACTTTCAGCAGAGACTGAAATAGAAAATACCTGTGCAAGCTCTCTACTTCAAAAGGTTTCCTCCATTTAAAGTCTCCTGCATGCATTTCTTTCACTACTGAGGTCACATGACTTGCTTAAGGAATAATTTTTTTATTTTTAAATATATTCGAACACTTCATTCCTATCCTGTTTTGAGGTAAGAGAGCCTGTGTTAAATTCCCAGCGAAGGCATGTTCTCGTACTGACTTACTGAGCATAAAAACATAAATGGAATACAATGTAAAAACTAGAGCTTGTATTTTTTAGATTTACAGACGTGTGCCTTTAATAGCTGTTTGAGGCAATATTAAGAAGTGTTTATGTGTAAACAGACTCCAAGGTCATTGATGTTAAGCTGACTGGGAACACAGTACGAGTCAAAGAATTAATTTATCTGTGCTCCTTGACCTGATACTGATTTAAGAGTTAATCCAGCAACCTGGGTTAACTAACCTGCAGTATTCAAAATGAGTAACGACGACCTAACCTCTCATCTTTCTAAGAGAAACTGAGCTTGCTGATGGCTACCTTGCGATGCTTTGCCACAAGCTGTGGTGGTTTAGGTGGCAGCCCAGGCATCTCTACGAGGGAAGGGACAGAGATACCCTGTAGTCACGTCTGCCTGCGTGCTGCCCGTGGCTTACGGCTTCTGACTTGCAAGGGAGGAGGGTCAACAGCCGAAGGCAACCACTGCTAATCTGACGGGGGTCGTAGGAGAGCCCGGGACTGAAAGAAAACAAAACAAAAAACCACCTGGGATTTTAAAGAGTGTATTTTAACTCGCTATGGCACCCTGGGTGTCCAATATTCCCATTTCTCTGAAACCTTAACTAGCTCTTAATCTTTGGTCATCTTATCAAAGGCTTGTCCTTGTAAAATGGCATAGAGATTTGT